CGTCATCAGAGACTGCTGGCTGTTGAGCAAAGGACTGACGCAGGGCGGGGAGGCTTTTCTGTGGAGAGACGACAGGTCAGGTGATAAGTGACGACTCGTCACTGGAAACATGGAGAAGTTAGGACTATGTAATGACATCGTGATAACTTTTACTGATGGAATAACCTGTTAAATATTTAAAGAATAAAATGATTTTTCTGCTGTATTTCTGTTGACCACAAATATCAAAGACGCCTCAAAGAACAGATTTAATCTGAAGGAATAGATGGAAAAGATATATACATATATATATATTTATTATATATATAAATTTATATTTCCAGCTTTTACACTGTTTAATGTGCTTCAGTCATTTGATAATTAAACAACTGTATGACTGATAGACACTCTGGAGAGATCAGACCTCAACTACAACTGTAGAAACAAGAGTTGAATCTCATAAAGTAGAATAAAGATAAATATATAAGAAATATGAATATATAAGAAATATATAATATATGAAATATAATATATAAGAAATAAATACATAAGAAATATATAAGAAATATGTGAAATATATAAGAAATTAATATATAAGAAAAATAAGAAATAAGAAAAATATATGAAATATAAGAAATATATAGGAAATAAGACATATATGAAATATAATAATTAAGAAATAAATACATAAGAAATAATAAGAAATAAGAAATATGTGAAATATATAAGAAATAGAATATATAAGAAATAAAAATTATATAAGAAATAAGAAATATATGAAATATATAATGAAATATAGAACTATAATATATAAGAAATAAGAAATGTAAGAAATATATTATATAAGAAATTGATATATAATAAATATTAAGAAAATATATGAAATAATAAATATAATAAATATATAATATATAAGAAATATAATAAATATATAAGAAATAAAAAATATATAAGAAATATATAAGACTGCAGCTGTGAGCCGCAGTAGAACTGGTATTAAAGCACTTGTAGTGCTGCTGATGAGCAGTGACGCTTCAGTACTGACTACTGAGTACTGGTTTAAACTGTATGAAAGAGCTGGGATGGTGGAAGTGACAGTGTTAATGACTGTGGTATCCATAGTAAAAGTACTGTAGTTGTGTACTCATGAGTGTGGTGGTACCTTGAGGAAGGGTGATAGGTAGGCTGTGGGGAGGACTTCAGCTCAGCTGCAGCGAGTGTGAACTCCTCAGCTCAATCTTAGATCCTGAGAGGACACACAGAACCCTCGTTAGGACACACAGAACCTCGTTAGACAGGAGACAGAACCTCGTTAGGACACACAGGATCGTTAGACAGGAGACAGAACCTCGTTAGACACCAGTACCTCGTTAGACAGAGACAGAACCTTGTTAGGACACGACACACGAACCTCTTTTAGACACACAGAACCTCGTTAGACAGAGACACAGAACCTCGTTAGATCAAGTCCAATCAAACTAAAGAGTGTCTTACGAGTAGGTCCTCGACCAGGCCTTCACATTCTTGGAGGTATCTGGGAGGGCGAGTTGTGGGTGCCAGCTTGAAGAGCGTGGCGAGGAAGTTCTTGCTTTCTCACCTTTTCTTGCATTTCCTGTCAAAGACAATTAAAACAGTGAGAAACCAGCAGCGCTGACACAACCTCGTCAGCTGCACGGGACACCGTCCTCACCTGGGAAACACACGGTGACTCTGGCGGGGCGTGACTGCGGGAGCGGCAGGGGTCGTGCTGGTCAGGGGGGCGGACGTGACACCGGCAGACTGGCCACGGTCGTCCCCCCCGCTGTTATCACCGTCGGGGCCTTTCGAGGGGTCGTCATCTTCAACGACACCGCGCGTAGCGCCGGGAGGCCACGGCCAGTATTATTTCCCTCGGAGCTAAAAGAGAGGAACACACTGAAGGAAACATGACTCAAAAGAATAATAATGTTGCTCTATGTAAACTGCTGGATGTGGAAAGAAAGTTGGCACACAGTTGCTTAAATTGATAAAATGTGATGTTGTGTTCAAAGCTTGTTTATTGAAGGTTTAACACGTTTAATCTTCAACACAGTCAGTAAGAATGTGGAATATTGTGCATGGTGTGATGATGAGTTTCAGCTTCTAATACAGGTTCAAATGTTGGATCCCTCAGAAAAAATACCCTTCTCTTTAATTTCCTACCAAAATGCAAAAATAACCGAGTTTTGATAAAATCAGACGTGTTATTATCCACAGAGGCCTGCACTGGCTTTGTGATCTGCGGCTAAAAACTCTCGAGAAGGAAAACATTCCACACTCGCATTTAATGGATTAATAAATAGGCAGCACAACACCGAGCCACGAAGCAATGTGGAAGGCCACGACACCCATTAACAGTTTTCCAAAGCGGGAGGAACTTGACATTTCTGAAATTTTTCCTCAACAAACTTTAGAAAAGGGAAAACGCTATAGTAGGAGCCTGCTAATATGTTTCGCCAGGTGAAACTGATTGTTGAGGGTCAAAACCCAGAGTCTGAAGGAAGAAGCAAGATTAAATTCATGTATAAAAAATTTGGAAAGTGCCAGTTAAATATGCTGCTTCGAAACAAAAACTTTTCTTTAGACTTTACTGTGTATTCGTAAAAGAAAACGGTCTCATTTATAAACGGGAACAACAAAACATATTGTGGTTGTTTCGTTAAACTTTGGCGGCGCTTTAATGAGAGACACAGTGTCTCCGTCTACCCCACCGGTTTGATTTGATGGAAATCTGAAGAGCCGATGCCCTCATCACCTTGATTCAGAAGATTCATTTTTTTGTTTTTTTAATCTGTTCCCTGCAGGTTTCACGTTCGGCTGGAGGAGGGACGGTCGGTGGGCGACCCCAATGCGCACACTAAAAAAGTCTGCTTTCGACCCATCTCCCACAACAGCCCCGGTCACCTGTACGACTGCCACGGCTATGAAGGGCAACAGCTGTGGGCGCTACAGGAAGGTACGGCATCAGAGTTTATATCTTCTCGTATCCCTCCGCCACTCAAACTTAGTTCCAAGGTTACATCCCTGTTTATCCAGAGTCCACGTAATATATGAACCATTTGTTGTGAGATTTTGTCATTATTTCTGTGTGAAGTCTTGAAGTAATGCTAAAAAGTGAACCAAATGTGAAGGGATTCCCTTTTAGGAGTTCTCGAAGATATTGCATCGCAATCGCAAAATCATGTTTTTTTGAAGGTTCACCTTGAACCTTTGAACTTTTGACCTTGAGCCACCAAATTCTAATAGTTCATCCTGAGGTCCAGGTGAATGTTTTTTACCAAATTTGTAGAAATTCCCTTCAAGGCATTGACGGACGTATTGCATTCACAAGGCCAAAACTGTGTTTTGAGCGTAACAAGCCCGCTGACCTTTAACCTTTGACCCCCAAAATCAATCAGGTCATCCTAGTTCTTATGAATTGTTTCTTGCCCAAATTTGAAGAAGTTCCGTCAAGGCGTTACTGAGATATCATCCATAGAAAGAAATGGAGGACGGACATACAAAGCAAGCATAAAAATCCTGAAATTTGAATGTCAGAATCGTCATTGAATGCATCACCAGAACAGTTAAAACGGTCCCTGCGGGCGTCTCTGTCGCCACAGGATGAATCTGTGGTGGATGGAAACTGTAGAACAGTTGTGTCGCTGTGGGGCTCGGATGAGAAACGTTTAAAACGATCAAAGTCTTGACGTCCGTCTTCTGTCCTCACTTCCTGTTTGCTCCCCGTCTTGTTTCCCTCCAGGACAAAGAAGCCTGTATCACCCCGTCCGGATGGCCTTCTGAGTAGCAGCACAGCGAGGGACACCTCCACTCAGCAAGGCGACAGAGAAAGCACCGCATGGGAAGTCTAGACAGTGTAGAGATACATACGATGACTATCCACGTGTGCATCATCCTCTCTCTCATACACTTGCGAGAGTTCTGACGGGTCGTCGTCGGTCTACCCGCAGCCCACGTGTGGCTGTTCGGATGTAGCTAGCCCAATCACTCGTCTTGCCACATTGACTGGAGAAGAGCCTATCAACCCAGTGAGGACTAACCTATAACACCTCACGGCCCCGACCCGCGTGCGGATCCTATTCTTGATTAATTAATAGAGGAATTCCGTGTACGCAAGTGCAAAACGTATCTCATCCGTATGTGATTACTGTCTGTCCATACACTCGATCGTCTGAAAGATTATGGTGTGTTTTTAGTTATTTTTTATTTATATATGATGTATACAACTCTGCTCCGCTCCCCGTCCACTTGCGTACAATCTCACGCTCTGGATCCCCCCCGCACCCGTTACTCCCATGTTGTTACCCTAGCTGCCATCGAGGTGACACCTGTTTCTCATATATAGTAGTGTATGCTCAGTAGAGTAGCAGGGATGGCGTGATTCAGATTGAGTGTGATCAGGATTGTTCAGGTGATGTCCACTGAACTGGATGGAAGGACTTCAGTGGTAAATGACTGAGACTGTTCTGGGTCACAGAGTCAACTCCTGTTTGTTTACCAAGTGAAACGTAAGTTAAACATGTGTTTTAGGAGGTCAGATTAATGATGAGAGACGGGGCTCTGACGTTGGACCCTCCAGTAATTTTAAAAGCGTCCTCATGCTGAGGGCGTGCAGCAGGAGGGACGATTTCATCTGCTTCAACATTCATTCACAATTCCTAGCTGATTAAATTCTGATGCCCTGTTCCTGTTGCGAGCGTCTGCGACGACGAGGGGACGGGAAACACAAACTGGCCAGTGTGGTGGAGGAGACTGAACCATTCTGGTGGGAGCGGGGGAGGCCCAGGCGACGGTTCTGCAGGTGTAACCAGGAGCCTGCAGACAACACAGAAGGAAACTCTCTCACACACACACACCTGAACCCCTCACACACACACACAAAGCTCTCCCACACACACCTGAAGCTCTCTCACACACACACACGAACCCCTTCATCGTACCAGAGCCGTTGATGTCGTGAGCGGCGTGTTCAGTCTGACGGTGCTGGTGGCCGGACTGATGGGCAGTCGCGGTCTGATGGCGGTGGTGGTGACGGAGCCGGGGGCGGCAGGGGGGGGCGCAGAGGTGCTGGGGGTGGCCGTCATCAGAGACTGCTGGCTGTTGAGCAGAGACTGACGCAGGGCGGGGAGGCTTTTCTGTGGAGAGACGACAGGTCAGGTGATAAGTGACGACTCGTCACTGGAAACATGGAGAAGTTAGGACTATGTAATGACATCGTGATAACTTTTACTGATGGAATAACCTGTTAAATATTTAAAGAATAAAATGATTTTTCTGCTGTATTTCTGTTGACCACAAATATCAAAGACGCCTCAAAGAACAGATTTAATCTGAAGGAATAGATGGAAAAGATATATTACATATTATATATTATTTATTATATATATATATTATATATTTCCAGCTTTACACTGTGTTAATGTGCTTCAGTCATTTGATGAATTAAAGCAACTGTATGACTGATACAGACTCAGCTCTGGAGAGACGCTCAACTACAACTGTAGAAAAAGAGTTGAATCTATAACTACAGTCAGAATATAAGAAATATATAAGAAATAGAATATATAAGAAATATATAATATATGAAATATAATATATAAGAAATAAATACATAAGAAATATATAAGAAATAAGAAATATAAGAAAAATATAGAAATATAAGAAATATATAGGAAATAAGACATATATGAAATATAATATATAAGAAAAAATACATAAGAAATATATAAGAAATAAGAAATATGTGAAATATATAAGAAATAGAATATATAAGAAATATAATAATTATATAAGAATAAGAAATATATGAAATATATAATGAATATATAAGAACTATATATATAAGAAATAAGAAATGTAAGAAAAATCTATATAAGAAATTTGATATATAATAAATATTAAGAAAATATGTGAAATAATAAATATAATAAATATATAATATATAAGAAATATAATAAATATATAAGAAATATATAAGAAATATATAAGAAATATATAAGACTGCAGCTGTGAGCCGCAGTAGAACTGGTATTAAAGCACTTGTAGTGCTGCTGATGAGCAGGTGACGCTTCAGTACTGGACTACTGAGTACTGGTTTAAACTGTATGAAAGAGCTGGGATGGTAGAAGTGACAGTGTTAATGACTGTGGTATCCATAGTAACAGTACTGTAGTTGTGTACTCATGAGTGTGGTGGTACCTTGAGGAAGGGGATGAGGTAGGGCTGTGGGGAGGACTTCAGCTCAGCCTGCAGCCGAGTGGTGAACTCCTCAGGCTCAATCTTAGCATCCTGAGAGGACACACAGAACCTCGTTAGGACACACAGAACCTCGTTAGACAGGAGACAGAACCTCGTTAGGACACACAGGACCTCGTTAGACAGGAGACAGAACCTCGTTAGGACACACAGGACCTCGTTAGACAGGAGACAGAACCTTGTTAGGACACGACACACAGAACCTCTTTAGGACACACAGAACCTCGTTAGACAGGAGACACAGAACCTCGTTAGATCAAGTCCAATCAAACTAAAGAGTGTCTTACGAGTAGGTCCTGCACCAGGGCCTTCACATTCTTGGAGGTATCTGGGGAGGGCGAGTTGTGGGACGCCAGCTTGATGAGCGTGGCGAGGAAGTTCTTGCATTTCTTCACGTTTTCTTGCATTTCCTGTCAAAGACATTAAAACAACGTGAGAAACCAGCAGCGCTGACACAACCTCGTCAGCTGCACGGGACACCGTCCTCACCTGGGAAACCACGGTGACTCTGGCGGGGGGCGTGACTGCGGGAGCGGCAGGGGTCGTGCTGGTCAGGGGGGCGGACGTGACACCGGCAGACTTGGCCACGGTCGTCCCCCCCGCTGTTATCACCGTCGGGGCCTTCTGAGGGGTCGTCATCTTCACCGACACCGCCGTAGCGCCGGGAGCCACGGTGATGGCCTTCTGGGAAACAAGACCACCATCAAGGACAGGAAGCACCATGATAATTAAACAATGAATTCATTTTTCATTTTTAACTGGAGTTCTGACGGGTCGTCGTCGTCTTACCGACCTGGTTCTGCATCTTATTGCATATTTAAAAGCATCTCGTGATCTACACACACGGATCTGTTTGTATGGATTGTTGGATGAAAACGTATCTGAATGTATTTCATTTAATCACTGAAAATGTGTATTTCTATTCATTTGTTCTTTTCTGTCGTCAGGTCACTTGTAAATTAGATCTGGATCTCAATGCCACTTCCTGGTTCAGTAAAATGTATGTAAATGATTGAGCTGATCAGATTGAGTGTGATCAGGATGTGTTCAGGTGATGTCACTGAACTGGATGGAAGACTTCAGTGTAAATGACTGAGACTGTTCTGGGTCACAGAGTCAACTCCTGTTTGTACCAAGTGGAAACGTAAGTGTAAACGTGGTTTAGGAGGTCAGATAATGTGAGAGGACGGGGGCTCTGACGGTTGGACCCTCCAGTAATTTAAAGCGTCCTCATGCTGGGGAGGGGCGTGCAGCAGAGGGACGATTCATCTGCTTCAACATTCATCACAATTCCTCAGCTGATTATTCTGAGCCCTGGTTCCTGTTGCGAGCGTCTGGACGACGAGGGGACGGGAAACACAAACCTGGACAGTGGTGGTGGAGGGAGACTGAACCATTCTGGTGGGAGCGGGGGAGGCCAGGCGGACGGTCTGAGGTGTACCAGGAGCCTGCAGACAACACAGAAGGAAAACACATGACGTTATGTAACAGTAAAACATCCAGAGAATCATAATGAGTAGTTCATGTGAGGACACAGGAGCAGAGGTGTGGGAGACACTGGGAACATCAGATGAACTGATTCTTTCACTTTCACTTTGTTTTCTTCAATTTCTTCTCTGATGCATTTCACACACTTTTATTTTCTTTAGCAATTAATCTGCTGATTATTTTCTTGACTAACTTTCATCAATTGGTCAAAAAAACAAACAAAAATGTCTGAAAGTTCAACATGATGACACCGAACATCTGGAGGCGAAGCGGGTTTTATCAGCTGTCAGCGCCTTCAGCCACGTCCTGACTGACACACAACAAACCCAACATGAGTCAAATGAACCAGTGATTAACCACAGTGATTAACAAATGTATTATTACAATTATCAAATGTAAACAGTAACACTACCCGTCTGACATTTCTACCGTGATATGGAAACTGTGTCATCTCTACAGACGTTCACTTCCCTGTGACAGGACACACACACACACACACACACACACACACACACACACACACACAGACACACACACACACACACACACACACAACGTGGGGTTCACTGTCTTGAAGACACTTCGAGACGCGGCCTGGAGGAGCCGGGGATCGAACCTGCGACCCTCTGATTACTGGACTTCTTGCATTAACTCACACCAAAATAATGTAAAGAAACTTTGTACATGAAAAGAAAGTGAAAATGTTTCAGGGAAACAGGAGCAGAGCAGACAGTCTAACCTAACCAGCAGCTGGCAGCAGCAGAACACAGTACAGTTCAGAAAGCTCAGTGACGACAGGAGCAGATTTATGAAGTACCAGTCCATTAGAACAGACCCAGACCCGGTCCTGGACCCGGTCCTGGTCTCTACTGTTAACTGAAGTCTAAACTTCTATTATGAACTTTTCTCAAACTGATGAAACGGGTTCCGACATCAGACGGACCACCTGACACCACGTCATCATTATTTCAATTCAACATTGAAATTAATGTGATTTTCACTTCGACCAGAACCGAGTCCACAGTCCCAGGTCTGCTGTCAGTACCGGACCTACCGTGGTGGCGGTGCTGACCCGGATGGTGGCCCCGGCCGTCGGCGTCGCTGGTCTCTGGGTGATGCTGGCCACCGTCTGGGCCTGCTGTGTCTTGGCCTGAGCCTGGGCCAGGACCTGCTGGGGGACCATCACCAGCTGACCGGTCTCTGTCCGGACCAGAACCATACCTGAGGGGAGACGGGACACTGGGTTAGTACCAACATGTGGATCCTGTGGTCCTGGTCCGGAGGCGGCCTGGTTCACTGAAGCCGTGAACAGACACAGTAAATGTTGAATATCAACACCATCATGTTTCACTGCAACTGATCCGATTATTTCCTCGACTCACGGATCAATTGTTTTTTCTATAAAATGTCAGATACAATGAAAAACTCTCATATTTCCCACAGGTGACGTCATCATGTGTTTTGTTTTGACTGAACCTCAGATATCTTCAGTTTCCTTTAAGAACCAGGTTTTTACTTCAGTACGACTAAAACATTATTTCTGATTGTAAAAAGAGCAGAAGCTAATTAATGCTCTGATGATCCACTCATCGTTAGTGGACGTGTCTGGGTCCAAACTCAGAGCTCAGAGACGCCGCCACCCCCACCTCACAATAAATACACAGCCATCTTTTCAAAAACCCAGAAAGCTCTGAAGGTTCTTCAAACATCTGGATGAAAAAAAAACTAAACTGTTGCAGCAGACAGAAGATTTTTCCCTCCAGATGTTCGAGGAGTCTCAAAGGATTCTGGGAAATCCTTCAGAAAAGCAGGAAGTGATGTTAAACCTCCTTCTAGGTTTATCAAACATCAGCTGTTGGTTTTCAGATCAGAGGGAGCTACAGCGACCTATATGTGCTGTGTCATCACAGGTGACATCACCCGACAACAGGTGACCCTTCAGGTCAGGTGGAGGTGTACAACCCTTGTGTTTGCTCACCAGGAGGCATGGTGAACCCAGGGGGCAGCTGGATGGTGGTCTGCTGCTGGGGCCGGACAGCCAGGGGAAGCTGAGGAGCAGCCGCCCGGGTGGAGCTCGCCACCAGCCCGGGTCTCTGCTGCTGGATGGAGGTGGCCACCACCGGAGCGCCCGGCGGCCTCACCACAGCCACTGCAGGCTGACCCACTCCGTTCATCGCAGGCTTCACCCCTGCAGCAGCCAGGGTGACGGCGGCCGTACTGGTCCCAGTCTGAGTCTGGCTGATGGGGGATTGGGCTGCAGCGGGAGGGGGGGTGCTCGTCAGGATGACAGTGTTTCCAGAGACTGGCTGGCTGGGCACCAGCATCTTGGTGTGCATCAGAGGGTTGCTGTGGTTCATGACCTGAGAGGTGGAAGCTGATGGGGAGGGGGCACCCTGGGTCACCAGCTGGCCACCCTTAGGGTCTACCCCGTTCTGGGCGACGCTGGCCACCGGGCTGGGGTGTCTCTGCAAAGCCACAGCGGGAGACGCCACTGAGGACTGAGGTACCGGGAAACTCGGCTGTGAAGCCATGGAGGCGATGATAGCGGACCCCCCAGCACTGACAGTACTTATAACAGTGCTGGCCCCGGCTGGTGGGGGGACCGCGGGCGAGTTCACCAACTTTACAGCTCCGCCGTTTCCGTTTAAACTTTGCAGTCCGGGAGACCCGGTCCTGATCGCCTCAGCCGCGGGGACGATGGAGGAGCTGGGAGCCGCGCTCGGACCCAGGACAGCCGCCCGGTGGAAGCTAGCAGCGGCGGGCTGAGTGGTCAAAGTTACGGGTCCCGGTCCGGGGGAAGCAGTCGGGGGAGCTGCTCCAACTGTTTGTAGCCCAGCTCCGGCGGTGATTACGGCCCCGGCAGCGATGGAGGAGGTAGAGGAGGAAAGGGTTTGAACGGAGAGAGGCTCATTAGCGCCGGGTTCCTGGGTTAACCCCGCTTTCGGATGCCCTTGTTGCGGCTCCACAGACCCCACTTGATCGCGCACTTTCCCTGAGAACTGACCCACGGCGGCCGGAGCTGCCTCCCGTTTTCCGTCGGAATACGAAGCAGCGGGAGTCTTTCGGTCGCCCAGTTGAGATTCCAGAGAGCCGACCAAGTCGCTAACGGCTTTCTCGTCCACCTCATTGAAGAGCATGTCCTCCAGTGGGTCGGAGGCTCCCGCCATCTTTGATGTCGGACCGTTGTGCAAATCGTATTTTAGAATGTACGCATGCGCCGAGGATCTGGCTGGTTTTCGAGCATAGAAATAGAGCAGATAGATTTTCTGTGGGCGCTGTGGCGGTAACTAGGTGTGTGCTGCAGGTACAACTCTACAGTAACTGACTTACACACATCTATAGTTAATGAGTGTAAAGTTAGAAACTGACAGTGGCTTCAGTTTTTATTTACTGATTCATAGTTTTTTAGTTATTTAAAGAAGAAAAAGTAATTTACATAACAGATTACTGGGCAGCCGTTACTGGACACAGAGGTTCTGTTCTGTTGACATTTTGTAGGAGGGCGGGGGCCTTTTACAGGACTGTGCCCAGGGGCCTGTTGTCTCATACTCTGTCCCATCCATTAGTAAACATATAAACCTGCAGAGCTTTGTTATGACCCAGATACATCCCAAGTGGCCCAGCTGCAGTCTAATGGAAAATGTTATTCTCTCTGTCCTAAGGATGAAGTAGTCCAATCATCACCATCTGCTTTAAACCAGAATAAATACCTGACCTTGATATTTTTCTTCACTTTTTATATTTCTTTTCACTTTCTTTATTACATCCTCTGTACATTTTATGTAGATTTTTAGACTGTTGTAGATCTAAACCTTTAGATTATTTACTTAAGTAAAAGTACCAGTTCAACAGTGTAAAAATACTTTATTACTAGAGACCATGTTGTGATGAGATCACACATGTTAAGGTTCGACCCATCAGTACGCAGTAGTCATTACTACATTATTCAATCAGTACTTAGTGGTCAAACAATGTATCAGAATAATACATGCTATATTACTGATTTTGATTATTGATACATTAATATATTCATTAGTTTAATGCTGCAGATGGTGAAGGTGGAGCTAATATTTACTCCAGGGCAGTTGGTGAATTTTACCAAGAGATCAATTAAATCTTTTCTTGACCCAAATATATAATAATATCATATATAATAATAAGTAATAAATACATATATAATATTATTATGATACATGATAATTTACTTAAGATATTGAATAAATATAGTACAGTAAAAATAACAATATTAACCTATAAAGTCTAGTGAAGTGTACAAGTACCTCAGAATGGTAACTAAGTACAGTACTGTAGTAAATATACTTAGTTACTTTGCTCCTCTGAGTGTCAAGTTTTTCTGTGGACAGTGGGACACATGAGGTGATCAACATGCGGCCTGTGTTTTCTCTTCTATTCGGCGAGGATCTACACTTCAGGACGAAGCGTAACCCCGCGAGATTATGAGTTCCCGTCAGCCCCCGCGCTCAGAGCCATCCGATGGAGGAGGAGGTGGCCATGTTGTAGCGGGGTACAGCGAACCCTAGGAGGAACACTACCTGAGACGTTTGGCATTTAACCGGTACTGATAACCACACGGTTCGGAGGGACCGCCCGTTCTCTTCCCTGTCAGAAGTGCCGAGCTGTAGAAGACACCATGAGCGGCGGGACGCCCTACCTCGGCAGCAAAATCAGCCTCATTTCGAAGGCCGAGATCCGCTACGAAGGGATCCTGTACACCATCGACACCGAGAACTCCACCGTCGCATTGGCTAAAGGTGACGCTGCTCCCGGCTAGAGATGCTGCAGCACCGGCTAGCACCGGTCGCTGCGGAAGTGTAGAGTCTGTGTTCACAGTTCATAATTAACGATTAAAATATGACTCAGCTCCGGGTGGAAAGTGTTAATCGCTCCGCAGGTTTGATCCAAAACAGATTAATAACGTTAGCCAGGCGGCTAGCGTTAGCTCGCTAACATGCTAACAGCCAAAGCGGCACGGTGAGATGCGTCAGTCCGGCTAACAGCAGGGATACTTCGGCCAGACGGAGAGTCTGCAGACCCAAAACATTACGAAACGGAACCATCCTGTAGAAGACAGTATTCGGCTCAGTTTAAATCACATATAAATGTATGTGGGCAGATTAATATTAATCCCTGTGTGTAACATTAGCCTGCTAACGTTAGCATGGCGGTCGGCGGCTCTGAAATGTCACTAAAACCAAACAAGAAATAAAATATTAATTTATATATTTCTGTTATAACTGACTGTTTTCAGGCGGTTACACCTGCTAACGAAGCTGCATCACCTGCTGCCCGACCGCCTGAACCTGTGACGTCACTGAGTGCGCACTCGACTCACCTGTTAAACAACAGATTATGACGACAAAACTATTAATGAAACCTCAGCTGCTCTTTATGTAATGTAACGACCAACCATGTGACAGTGAAGTACACGCCACTGTACAAGTGGTGTGGGTAAACATTAGCTCGTAATATCAGGGTGAAGTGTAAATATACAGATACATGAGGTCAGTAAATCTGCTTACATGCACCAGATAACCCTCCACCTCTTGTTTTCATTACTGATTAAACTGCTCATTATTTTTTAGATCTATCTGTCCATATTATGTCTTTAAAATGTCACAAACTTCCCTGGTATCTGCACGTCTTTACACCTTCTACAACACTGATTTCACTTTCCACTAAAAAGGCCTTTAAAGGTGTTAAGTCTAAAATTTCAAAGGTATTAATTTCTCTAATCTGCAGTGAAGTTGTTCCAATTTAAAGTTTTTTTTGTGGTTTTATTACAAGCTGTCTGAAAAATATCCAGTTCTGTTGTTATAGGCCTCTAATTTTATGTTGAATTCATACATGGACCATAAAGTAGTTGGTGAGTTTTAAATTGATTGATCCATCCATTCATCTGTTTTCTGCTGTGTCTCCAGGTCATGGTTAATAACATTGTAAGGAGTTATGGTCAAATACAATAATATTATAATACAAAATAATGTGATACAAATGTCAATAAATCCATGCACTGTGTGAATAGTTGTAGTTGCTACTGGTTTTCCCCGACATCGTTCATACTGTGCTCAGTATGACTGTGAAACGTATTAAAATGAATTATACATGTATTAAAGATGGTGAACCTGCAGAAATCCCACATTGTATAAAAGGCCGATCACACTTTACCAGAGCTCAACATGACATATATGAAATTCTTGCTCTATCCACCCAACAGGACAAAACTAAACATATTCAACTGACAATATGCAACAGTGCAAAACTATAGAAACAAAAGAAAATACTCACAGAGACGTTAGCAGCTGATGTTATGAAAAACTAAAACCCAAAATTAGTTCATTTCGATTATCAAATAATGTTTGTTTAATTTTCCAAAGTAAAAATGCCAAGTGTTCACTGTTGATCTGAAGATGTCACCTTGGGTCATTTTCACTGTTTTCTGACATTTTCTAGACAAAACAATTAATAGATTAATTGAGAAAATATTTTAATCAATAATGAAAATAATTGTAACTTGTAGCCAAACGTTTGGATCAGAACCTGCAGGCTGAGTCAGCAGAGACAGTGTGAAGTTTAATTCAAATCAAATTGTATAATGTAAATGTATAAAAGCAGTAATGTAAAATGTTAAGTGAACTTTTAGATGCTGATGACATGCCCACCCTGTTAGTTGACCTTTGACCTGTGGTTCTGACCGGATGCTGTCTTCTGCCTGTCAGTTCGTTCCTTTGGAACAGAGGACCGCCCCACCGACAGACCCATCCCTCCTCGAGATGACACCTTTGAGTACATCATCTTCAGAGGCAGCGACATCAAGGACCTGACTGTGTGCGAGCCGCCCAAACCGACATGCTCTCTTCCTCAGGACCCTGCAATCGTCCAGGTTCATCCTCACCTCCACACTGTGTCTGACTTTATATTCATATTGTGGTTCACAGAGAAACATTCACCATCTGTTCTCCTCCTCAGTCGTCCATGGGCTCCAGCTCCTCGTCCTCCGCTGCCGCTGCCCCCACCCCCTTCCAGTCTGCCGGTTCCTATGGACTCTTCAACCGGGCCCCAGTTCCTGCCTACAACCAGTTCAGCACCAGCCCCCTGGTTTCTCCTCAGTTTGGACCCGTCGGTGTCGGTAGGAGCATGAGCTTTGATCAGTGTGGTGGGAAGAAGTTAGTGTGTATTATGATAAAAGTCAAACTCTCTGCGGGGGCGGAGCATGATGTCCAAGGGTTCAGAGTCTCTCTGTGACACTTTACTACATGAATCATGCCACACAAACTGAGGAGGATTGATTATTGGCATCAGTGTGACTCTACCCAGTCGAGGCCTTCACTTTCCTCCTCCACAGGACCCTCAGTCAGGGAGGGGCTGACACAGTTTGATTGGGGTCCTGTCCATCGCAGAATATGGATTTTAAATTTTGTGTGTGATTCATAAAACTGTGAGTGAATGTGACGGTCACTGAGGTGTTTAATACTTTAAGCAGGTGAACAGTTATTGATTACAGTATTAAATGTCTCTGTCAGAGCTGATACTTTGATTAAATCAACAGTAGTGTGTGAACTCTGAAGGATGTTTACTGTTGTTGAACAGGTTTTTTACTTGTTTGTAGACGAACCACAACAGATAATTATTACAAATCAATAACATGACAATAAATGAAGCAGAGTAAATGGCTCTGAGCGGAAACTCTTAATCAACAGAAAAACAAAGTTCCAGTAAATATAAATGTCTTGTTTCTGATTCTGTGTCACACTGTGTCAGACGCTTTTCATTAACAGCTCAGATGATTAATAAGAAAATAAGCAGATTAATCAATAATAAAAATGACATTTCAATCATTTTCATCATTTGAAAAAAACTGAAAACCTTTGGACTATTTTCTGACATTTTATAGGATTGATAATTAATTAATTAATTGATTGAGGAAAATAATTGGCAGATAAATTAATAATATAAACAACTGACTGTTTTGTGTTTACTTCCTTTTCAGGGTCAGTGTGTAGTTTGGTTTTGTCACATTCCGACTGTTTATTGTTTTTATTGTGAGCCGTCGTCATTGGACAGACGGCGCTCTGACATCAGATATCAGACACGGTTCACTTCACACGCTGCACATCAGCATTTAAAGGAAGCGGGAGTGTTGTTGCCCTCAGCTCTCTTCCTGCTGTTCCCTCCAAACAGGACGCTCAGTGCCCTCCTTTGTGAGCGACACGGCCTCGACCCGGTCTCAGAGCGGCGCTCTGCCCCCCCCCCCCCCCCCCCCCCGACTCGCGGTCTCTGGGTTCTGTTGTAACCGCAGGTAAAAACCTGCAGGAAGCCGCTGGAGTAGAGAATCTCTGACGTGTGTTTACTCCCCGCATCAGGTGGAACTAAATCACACCTGACTGGAGGGTGAAATCTCCCAGTCAACACAAACGCCCCTTCACTCACACAGTCAGAGCATGTGTGTGTTGTTGACACGTCTTCCTGTTTGAACCGTCAGACTCTCTGTGTTTCCTCGTCCTGACAGACAGTAATGAGTCAGTGTCGATTAAAACTTCCTCCGGTTTCAGAAACTGCATGAGTGAATTTTAACGATGAGTTTCCTCGTTCTCAGAAGCCTAAGTGCACGCCCTCCTCTAGAACCTGCACGTCCTGTTCCACCAGGCGCCACGCTTTAACGTGAGCAGAGTCATTTTCTCTCAGGCGGACCTCACACCTGTACGTCAGGTAATTTGGTCCAGAACAAGAGAAGAAAGATCCCACTGCTGTTCCTGGGTCAGTCCATGTTCACACTGAGAGGAAGTGGTACAGGCTGACAGGTCACTCTCTGATTGGACAGATACATGGATCCAGAGTTCGTTTATTTATGAAGAGCAACAATTAAATCAGGATAAAAACCTGTTAATGACACATTTATTATATATATATATATAAACAGAACAAGACCCCCCCCCCTTAAAAAAAAAAAACAAAAAAACAACAGTCTTAGTAAAATGTATTTAAAAAACTTTAAATGTAACTTTAAATATTGAGATATGCATAAGTTACTATAGACAAGAATCAAAATAAGTAAAAATATATGAACAATAAAAAAAACATGAGTAAATAAAATAATAAATTGCATATAAGGTAAAATTTATGTGTGTGTGTGTGTGTGTGTGTGTGTGTGTACACAAATTTAACACTTGACACTTGAACACTAATTGTGGTGTGAAAGGTCACAGCCCTGACATGAAGAGAGGGAAGCATCAGCTGTGTGGAGTGATGATGATGAGGCTGAACCTTCCTCACATTAATGAAACAAACAGAAACACTGCTCACCGACGATCAGCTGATGTAGTCCAGGTGTGTCCCACTAACCCTGATCCCTGTTCTGGTTCTCGTCCAGGCCGCAGCAGCCCCAGCCTGGACCCTCTGAGGAAGAGCCCCACCCTGGACCAGGTGATCCAGACGGCTCCTTCGGCCCCGACCGCCGCCACCACGGCTCCGGCCCCCGGCCTGGGACGCAGGAGCCCCACCCACGGTCGCACGGCCCCCCCCACCGCCGGGCAGAGCAGCCAGAAGCTCCAGCACCAGGATGGCGTGGATGCAAGGAGGGGTGAGACTGTGAGGGGAGGCCGCAGCAGCCAGGGCTGGTCTGCACCCCGAACCATCTCCGCCTCTCACATCACCGCTGTAGATAGGGCTCCCACCGCAGGGCTTCCCCACTCTATCTTTAGCCACTCAGGTGAGACCTCAGGCCAGAGACCAGCACACTGCTCTGATCTGTTGTCACGTGTGGAGTTGTGTTGGTGCCCCCTCCCTGAGCGCTGCGGGACACTTTGAGCACAGACAAAGAGTTTTACAAGCACATGTTTGATCCTGTGGCAACTCTGAAATTTCCTCTGAGCTTCATTTGAGCCGTTTGTGACATTTCATGTGAAACTTTCTGCACAAAGTGAAAGTCGACAGTCTGTTTGATTGTACCTTAACGTTAGCTTGCTAGGCTAACTTAGCTTTTTTGGGAGTTATTTTTTTCTTATTCATTTATTTATTTATTTTTTAGAGTAATTTTTTTTCCTTTTCTTTTCAAATAACATTTTCTCTTAGTAATTCTTTTTTTGGAGGATTTTTTTGAGAGTAATAGAAATAAACTTTTGAAATAATTTTTTAGAGTGAACAAAGTTTCACCTTCTACAGTGTTAAAATGTTTGATTTGACACCTGGATCGTTCATATGAGAAAGTTGTGGATGAACTTGCAGAAACATTTCCTTATCATCAGTGGTGGCCATCTTGAACTTTTGAGTGGCTAACGTGTAGAGAGTAAAAACCAAGGAGGATTTGTCTGAAGGTTGCAGTTACCAGCTGTGGTATAGATCTAAACAACACAGATGTGCCAGGTTTCAGCCCTCAGGGAAAATAAATCCTTTTTCCACAGTTTATTAACCAGGAAGTGATTTTATATTCAGAGCTGCTCACGGTCTTTATCTGCTGTGACTCAATCATCAAGAAAGGGATTGAAATCTGACTTTGGATCTCAGCACTCATCTTCTGATTAGATCCAGTTCTATGAATGTGCTTGTTAAACCTCTGTCTGTGCTCACAGTGCCCCCCCGTCGTTCTCCAGGATGAGGCACAGACGTAACTCCAGTGTCATGCTAAAGAATCATTTCCACTCTGTGATGTGTTAACGTTTTGTTCCAGAGTCCAGCTCTGTGTGCAGTTTAGGTGTAGAGCCACAGGGCTGTGTTCTCTGACTAAAAGACTCTGCTGTTCCAGGCACAGACGTCCAGAAAGTCCCCAAACCAGAGTCTGAGCAGGCGCGAGGGGAAGGCAGGGATACCAGTAAACGTTCCACAGGTTAACCCCGCCCCCTTCCCTCCCCCCTCCGGCTCTCAATCCATCCTCAACAGCCCATTCAGACTCTGCATGCCTGTCAAGCTTTTCCTTTGGGCGGCGGAGCCCCACACTCATCCTCTGCAGCCGCTCCAGCCCGACCATCCGTCTGTGGCGTGTTTTTCTTTGCTGGTGAACGTGTGTGCAGATTGACATGCTGTTGGTCATGTCAATGGAGCGGAGGCGTGACTCGTCTCCTCGTCTTCAGACCGGTGAACGCCGCAGAATGCTCCCTGTGCTGTGGTGGTGCTGTCCATCAGTACATGAATGATTGACTGCATTTCCTCCATGTTTGATGTGACGTTTCTTTCTTTCTGGACTCGTATGAAGCTCCAGCCAAGCTGCCGCCTCACCGCACTTGGCTCTTTGCTAACTCATGTTAAAGACTGAGACCTCCTCCACCATCGGTTTACTTCCTCATGTGTTGCCATGGTTTCTTTTGTTTGCTGGTTTTGTTCCGCTCCACCTGTTCAAACCCGCTCACCTGTGACGACTGATGTAGCGTTTCTCCTCTGTGCTTCAACAGCTGCCGGAGCGCCGGTGAATCGTCGTGGGCGAGGGGGCGGGCACCGCGGCAGAGGGCGCTTCAACGTCCGCAGAGACGGACCCATGAAGTTTGAGAAGGACTTTGACTTCGAGAGCGCCAACGCCCAGTTCAACAAGGAGGAGATCGACAGAGAGTTCCAGAGCAAGCTGAAGCTGAAAGGTTTTTATTTTCTACCAAGTAAATTCATTCATTCAGGTTAATGTACTACAGCCAGTACTACACCTGAGTACACATTTGAAGTACTTGTTGGTACATGTATGCTGCTATATTGTGTACTTTTACTCCTCCACAACTGAGATGCATCAATGTGAAAGCTGTTGTCTTTTTGCATCTGTAGTGGAGATCACCATGGAAACCTCAGAGTTCATTCTCTAATCTCACGGTTTTATAATAACAATAATAAACTTTATTTAAACAGCACTTTCCACACACAGGGTGCAGCTCAAATATAAAAGAGAGAAATCACTAACGAGCAGAAATTAAAACTGTTAATTAAAAGCTAGATGAACAGGTGTGTTTTCAGTCGTTGTTCAAAATGTCCTCTCAGTCCACCTGCTCGTATTTGTTGGTGGTTGTTCCACAGCTGAGGTCACAGCGGGTGAAGAGCTTCCCCTGGTTTATTTTGGGGACATCTAGAAGTCCTGCTGTAGATGAGCTCAGGACTCGTGGAGAGACATTAAATGATGTAAGAGTCAAACCATTAAGAGCTTTGTGCACAAGATAAAGGACTTGAAGGATTGTAGAAGACACAGGGAGCCGGTGCAGGAGGAATCTGCTCCCTCCTCCTTGTCTCCTTCTGAATGAACTGAAGTTTCAGAAGACAATAAAAAGAGTGAGATAAAAGCATGAATGAGCTGCAGAGCTGAGTAAAGAACAGACTCGGTTTTGTTGGTGATGTTGGATTTGAAACTTAAATCAGAGTCTAAAACTGATCCTCCTCTCCCTCAGACGAGAAGACTGAGAAGACGGAGAAGACGGTGAACGGCGAGGATAAAGGCGACTCCGGCGTGGAAACTCAGAACAGCGAGGGAAACGCCGACGAGGAGTGTGACCCGCTCGGCCCCAACTGCTACTACGACAAGTCCAAGTCCTTCTTCGACAACATCTCCTGCGACGACACCAGGTACGAGTACCTGTTCATGAAGCAGCAGGAGGAGGAGGAGGAGGCGTGGCCGTCACTGTGTACATCCTTCTCTCTGTCGGTGACCTCACTGATGTTTTCTCTTCTTCAGGAAAGCTAATGAGAAGTCTGGAGGCTTGGGTTTCCCACGGTAAGTGTTGGTCATGTGACCGACCCACAGCACCTGGGTGGATGTAGATCATTTACAGGTAGAAGTCACGGCCTTCATCACTCTGCTCTGTTGTAAAGACTCTTCACATCAGAGCACACCTAGAGTAATAAGCCAGGTGCGCTCTCTTAAAGTGACAGTACCTGATTATGAAAGAAATTGAATCATTAACATATTTTATACATGAAATGTCAATTTTAATAAAAACGTGAATAAAAGTGCTTCAGACAGAGAAGAGTGAGTTTCTCCTCCTCACTTCCTGCTTGCTCCTCCTGCAGGGAGCGCAGGCAGACCTGGGCGGAGGAGAGGAGGATGAACGCGGAAACATTCGGTATCCCTCTGCGTCAGAGCCGAGGTCGCGGTGGTTACCGTGGACGTGGCGGGATGGGTTTCCGCGGAGGTCGGGGGCGTCCGGCTAGCCGAGGGTCCTTCGGACCACCGCAGGGGGGCGGCGGCTTCAGGGGCGGATACAGAGGAAACCAGGCCGGCCGGGAGTTCGCCGACTTATCAGCATACAGGGTGAACATACATTCTTTATTAATGTTTATTTACTTTATGCAACACATCACAGCTAACATTTTACAAATCGCCCTGTACATCCTGATGTTAGAGACGCAGTTCTGTCTGATAAATAACATGAGACTCAATCTGACATGTGTAAAATCCTCAGATGATTGAGTCCTGATTGGAGCAGTTAACACTCTGCTGGGTTCTCTGATGAGATCAGCAGGTGCTCCTGTGTTCTGGTTTAATCGTGTTGTAAACGTCTGTTTCCTGTTTGTTCCAGAAGGACAACAAAGTGGCTGCGTAGTCCCGACGGGAGGAAGATTCTGCACAAAGGTGGAACTTCTTCACACACAAAAGGAAAACAGATAGTTTGTCAACTAAAATAATGAAGATTGTCCAATTGTTGTATATTTGTCACCAGCACTGGGGTAGACTGCTTGAATGCAACTTAACTTTCCATATCTTTCAACGGTGGAAACGACAACAACAACAACAACAACAAAGCAGTTTATCACAGAAACCGTAAAAAAAACAAAAACAAATTCCAGATCTCTACAAAGTAATTTCCAGGTGGCTGAAGTAATTCTGTGTAAATGTCATATTTCAGAGGGATGCTTTTTGTTTCGCCCTTTTCCTAAACCTGTATTTGATAACATTTTGTTTAGCTGTGGAGGGTCGTCCACGCCACTTCCTGTCACTGACGTAGCTTTATTTGGGGAGGTGGGGACAGTTTCTCCTGTAACTCTGCAACTTCAGCACCAAAATAGGCCACAGGGTCAGTCACACCTTTCTAACATGTATTTTTCTACTATGACATAGACGTTCATCCGTTATCTCGTCAGCCCGCTCACCGTCACCCCTCCCCCCTCCCCGCCGCCCGTCTCCAGTCGCAGTGCTCGTGCGTTTCGCTTCTCACCTGAAACCTCTCCGCGTTTCACCTGCAGCTTGGTTTTTCTCCTCCAGCTGATCCTGAAGTGTTTCCTCGTGTAGGTTTGAAGGCGTTTCCTCTCGAGCTGAAAGACGATTAATCTGCAGCTGTTTTCACACAATCCATCGATCGTTGAGTCGTTTTTAACAGTAAAGATAGAAAGATCTGTTGTTACAGAACATTTCAATAAAAACACTTCAGTTTCACAGACCAAACGATTAATCGATTTATTGATGAGGAAAATAGTCGTTAGCTGCAGCTCTACTTTCCTCACTCTGCTCTAACATTAGTGTAGGAAGCTGGTGCTGCTCTACTGGTTTCAGTGGTAGTTTATGCTCCCAGTCCACAAGCTGACTCAGACGGGTCATAGGTCAAACTACTTTTTCCACTCGTTTGTCTGGTTCTTCATCACGAGCCGCCGGAGCTCCGAGCTCACAGTTCGTTAGTTTAATGAGTTTAATCTGCGGACGAGGGCTGAGATCTGTTCACTGGGTTTTATCTGACAGCAGAGAGGAAGATTTAACATGTCCACACTGAAACACTTCGCTTCAAGTCGTAGAGCTGAAACAATTAGTCAATCCATCAACAGACAAATAATTGGCAGCAACTGATGAGACCATTTCCTGTTTCTCTTTGTCTCGTCACTAAACGAGTTCAGCTCTGAGGAGCTGTGAGGGACATTTTTCTTTTGGACAGTTTTGACTTTTCATGGACTAAATATATAATCAATTTATTGAAAAAACAATTAGCACATTAATCGAAAGTAATTAATTAATGCAGCTGCAGCTGTACCTGGCTGGAGGCTGCACTGTTGTATGTATTTCCTTTTTTATGTCTGCATTTAATGTGTCATAACCCAATGAAAACATGTTAAACAGACGTTTATTTATCTTTTTTTGTCTCTAAAAACTAAATGAGTCGTTTCATTTTGACATAAAAATCACTTTACAGTTTACAGTCCAGTGGTGTCCAGCAGGGGGCAGCACCTACAGACACTCAACACAGTCCTGTCATTAGTGTCCATGAGCAGGTGAGAGGTGGAGCAGCTGAGTAGCCCCGCCCACACAGGAGTCTTTAAGCTGTAATGTTGAAATGAATAAAGAGAAGAGGTGAACTGCACTTCAGTGTCAGCAGCAGTCATTTATTTCCTGTGGTGTCATTTGATTTTTTCTTATTAAAGATGAAAAACATGAAATGCAGACATGAAGAGGAAATACATGATGTGTATTTCACTTTATTTCTTTAACCGATTTGTTTCCGTTTAGACATTTTAAATCTTCCGGTGCCACGTTACAACCAGACTCCCCTTATACAGCTTCATCAACGGGTTATAACTAGTTCATTAATCAGCTTGTTCACACTTTATCAATCATTTATAAGCTGTTATAACACGTCAGATAAAAAGGCCAACAGTGAGCTGTTTCCTGCCAAAAAGTGAGCCCTCATGTCTCTTTCTCCATCATCATTAGCTGCTGTTTCATCACATTTGTTCACTTACTAATTAATTCATTATTAATTAACCTTTTCACATCTCTGGCCTGTCGTTCACTGAGCTGATTCTCCCTCCACCTTCATGTTTCTTTGCTTCTCATTTTTACCACCGTTTATTAATGAGTTACTGTTGCTCCTGTTAAAAGGAGTGAAACATCATTTATTAATGTGTTACTAACAGGCTCCAGTTACCAGTTTATATGTTAGTAACTCACTCTAAACATTAATGAGTAGGAAGTGTCAACTTGATCTTGCCAAATAGTGAGCCTGCGTCAATGTAAGAAAACTGTTATAACCTGTTTATAACTGTTTATCATTATAAAGTGTAAACTGAATTAATAACCTGATTATAAACCGTTAATAAATCCTTTATAAGGGGAGTCTGATTGTAAAGCACCAAATCTTCCATAGAAGAAGTCAAAGCACTTTCTAAGATGTAATAACTCATACAGTTTATACATGTAGTCGTTTGTCGGGCCGCTTCATCAAACACACTAATTTAAATAAACAAAAAACACGTCTCACCTGGTCTCACCTGTCACAGTTAAACTCCGCCTGAAGCCACTAACTCTGTCCCGCGGCACTGCTAAAGCTACAGGATGTGATGTCACCTACGACTTCACAATAAAAGACTAGGAAAACGAGCTAGCTGTCCGGGTGTAGCGACGTAGTTCCTTAGCAATATTCATACTCGTTTGTGAGGAAGGAATCGGGTCGGACGAGTTATGACTGAATGATCTGACGCCGTCTCGTCTCGGCCTGGCACTTACTAAGTCCATGTGATTTTGGCGGGAAATGTAAAGAGTTGTACTTTGGAAGTTGGTCAGAAAGTTGGAGAGATTGTATTCTGCTCACAAAGTCTCTGTAACAAAAAACACCTCGATTGAAATGGATTTCAGGAATATTGGATCAAACTTTATCAACAGAAACAGCTTCGTCCGTTTGGTTTTGTTGCATTAGAGAAAAGAAGAAGCAGTTTAATATGTACTAAAGTTAAATGAAGGTCTTTTTTAACAGTCTGCTTCATTACAAATCCCCAATGATCATGAAGATGTCACCTGACGAGCAAAGCTACCTTTAAAGTCTCGCCAGAGCTCAGGAAACGTACAGAACATCATTCTTTCTTGATTGGCCTTAAAGCTGGAGAATCACTAACGTCAGAGATCAGACACTTTGTCGTCTCTGCTGCTGCTGAACTGAGGAGCTCCAGATAAACTGATGGAGTTTAATATGAGTTTAATATGTTTCCTGCTGTTGTAGAAGATTTTCATTTTATTGACACTCCGAAAAACATGAGTTGTCAGGAGCTTTTGAGAAAACGTGCGTCCAGCTGCAGAGACAGATGTGGAGTGTCCATGGAGCCAGAGAAAAAACAGGAATTTATTTTAGTTGAATTAAATTAACATTTAAATGATGCAGGATAAAAACTAAAAAACAAAACATTTCTTATTTTAATGAGACATTAGAAAGTGATTTATAAGAATGGAGTTGCAGCATCACTTTTAAAGGGCCAGTACACATCTCATCTGAAAAATAATGACTGTGGAAACAAGTACAATTAAAAAAAACTTTGTTAAATTTGATTTGACAAATCCATTTTAAAGTCATTTAAATACAGAAATAAGGAAACTGAACTATTAATTGGCAAATGTTTGTACATGTATATTTTACTCGAGTTTTCATAATGCATCATTTAAATTCAAATGAATAAATTCATTCAGGCTTTAATCGATTGATCTAATTGATTACTAATGAGCATCATGCTTCACTCCAGGCTCCATGTGTCTTCAGTCTTCAGCTCATGAAATCACACCTGAGACTCAGGTGTGTGAAGGTGCTGAAGCTGCAGGTCTGACTCTGCTCCTGGTTCAGGTCAGGGACACAGAGACGTCTCCATGTGGTTCCTGATCCGCTCGTCTGAAACATTTCAGGTGTTTGTTCAGGTGTTTGGTTTGATGACAGCAGTGGTTCTCAACTGTTCAGGTGTCGAGACACAACGAAGGACTAAAGTTAGAAGTCTGCATTAACAAGACTTCTCTTTAAATGAGTCAAACAGAGGCTTCAGGCAGGGCTGGATTAACACCCAGGGTCCCCGTCCTCAGGGTCCCCGTCCTCAGGGTCCCAGGGTCCCCGTCCTCAGGGTCCAGGTTCCTCACGGTCCAGGTCCTCAGGGTCCCGGTCCTCAGGGTCCAGGTTCCTCAGGGTCCAGGTTCCTCAGGGTCCGGGTCCTCAGGGTCCAGGTTCCTCAGGGTCCAGGTTCCTCAGGGTCCAGGTTCCTCAGGGTCCAGGTTCCTCAGGGTCCAGGTTCCTCAGGGTCCCGGTCCTCAGGGTCCAGGTTCCTCAGGGTCCAGGTTCCTCAGGGTCCAGGTTCCTCAGGGTCCAGGTTCCTCAGGGTCCAGGTTCCTCAGGGTCCAGGTTCCTCAGGGTCCAGGTTCCTCAGGGTCCAGGTTCCTCAGGGTCCAGGTCCTCAGGGTCCAGGTTCCTCAGGGTCCAGGTTCCTCAGGGTCCAGGTTCCTCAGGGTCCAGGTCCTCAGGGTCCAGGTCCTCAGGGTCCAGGTTCCTCAGGGTCCAGGTCCTGGTTCACTGTGAGGCTGAGATAAACCTGTTAGCACATAATGAAGCACACGATCACCTGAAGCGACTGAGGCCGTGAGGAACAGGTGGAGTCACATGTTCACACTGATCCACTCTGGATAATTTGAAGAATTAATAAAAAAAACTGAATGTTTGGGTTTTAGATTCACTGGTGAAAGTTAGAATAAAGAATAATCTGTTGATTGATTTGAAGACGTTTCACTGAGAAAATAATCAGCTGATTAATCAATAAGTATCAATCTGAACATGTGACTCAGAAAGAGAAGAGGATTCATCTGAATGTTGAACTGTTCCTTTAAAACCTTTAATATTTCAGTTTATATTAGTGCATTTTTCTAAATAAATACTAACAGTCTATAGGTTTATATATGATACGTATCATGATACAGGGCTTACAATTCAATATCTTGTGATTTTATTTAAAGCTAATTTTAGGAGAACTGTAATAACAAAGATCAAACCGCCACATGTATAAACTATTAAAAATAAAATGTACTTTTTTATGCATCAGAACAGTGAGATCTCTGTAACATCACAGCACTAGTTTTTGTGCAATCTGAGCAAAGAAATGAACATTCACTTCCTGTTTCAGTAAGAAAATAAAAGCAGGATCCTGCAACGTAACGAGGCTGCATCATATTCACTGTATCACAGAATCCTTCACTCTCTACAGCACTGAGAGGAGGGTGTGACCGAGTTACAGATGTCCCCTAAACGCCTCACGTGCAGGTAGACATATAGGTAGGCTCAGACAGGTGTGTGGCTGAAAATGAGTGAGTTTGGAAAGAGTGATGTAGGCTCCTAACATTGGATTTACAGTTAAAATAGTGATTTTATTTACCTGGGCGGGTCTTAATCTACCTGGGAAATGTATGGGAAACATTGAGGTCAGTGGTAACTTCAGTGTGTGAACTTCCAGAGCGAGTTGAGAGGGATCCACTTGTTAGCCATTAGCCGTTAGCATCAGACTAGCACCTTGCTAAGCTGTTAGCTGTCCCCTCAGTGTTTGATCGCGGCTCTTGTCGATCTCCTTTAGTGCCTTCTTTATCGTGGAAGACAAAACGAGCCCACACTCCAGTCAGCTAGGTGTGCTAATGCTAACAGTGCACTCTTACTCTACTTCCTGTCTCAGCAAGAGTCAAACGGATTACAACACTGCCATCTACTGGTCAGGGATTTAAACTCAACACAAAGTGAACCACGAAACTTTACATGTCAACTATTAATTAAAATCAATAGTTTTTGAGAATCGATACAGTATCACAAAACATATTATTACAATATTATTGATTATTTTCTTGCACCCTTAGTATAGGGACTGGGTAGGGGGGGGGGGGGGGGGTAATCCGGCCCTGCCTGTTGGAAATAAACAGAGACACTTTCCATGTTTTGTCACATTTCAGATTCACCTGAGACAAAGTTGAGAGCCACTAAGATAAAAGACGAGTCTGGGGGATTGGGTGCATGGGGGGATGCGCGATTGGGGGATGGGGTGGGGGGGGTGGGGGGCTCCCTGGAGTATTTAAAGGAAGCTGTTTAGTTTCATCGTTGTCAGGTTTTGACTGGTGTTGTATAGAAACACACACAACACTACATGATGCTCGTGTTTGTCAGTCCACTACATTTTTGGGCGGGAAAAACAAGTTGTGATGAATCGGCCGAGGTTGTTGATGCAATAACAGAGGTGGCGGTTTGAGCGTTAGGAGGCGGAGAGCAGGCGGAGCCGAGGTCATTCTGGCTTCACTCTCTGGAGGCACCGCCACAGGTCTGGTCTTTGAACGCAGCACGGCGGCGTCCTCCTCCTCGGGCCTCAGTCAACTGAGCTTTTTATTAAGAGCAAATAATAAACAGTTGTTCATTAAGTTTGTGTCGGCGTCTGTCTGCTCTGTGTCCGTCCTGGTGTCTACAGACATTTATCTCATCTGTAATAACCTGCCGGAGGAGGAAGAGGAAAATCACATTTGATAAAACTTCACTTTATCATTTTGACAGCCTGTTAACATTTGTAATTTCTGTTTTGTTAGTTTTAATCAAAGGGAGATAAATGTTTAGTTAATGTCAAATTAAAGTTAAATCATCAAATAGTCAAATAAGGGGTTTGTGTTAATGTGAGAAGTTCAAACATTAACCACAGTGGATGAAGCCGCAGCAGCAGAGACTGTCCAGGTTTATTATTGGTCATTTCTGGAAAAACTTTCCAAACCTGAAAACAGTGGGAACCAAAGATCCTGAGAAACACGGTGGGATTACGTTTCTTCAAAGTTAAAACTTCAGCCGCTTGGTTCAGGAACATCCAGATTCATTTTCAACATTTCAACACAGTCTGAATTTCCTAGAGACGTGTGTCATAGTGTAAATTAATATTCTGCATTTTTTTTATCTAGATGAAAATCTTTTAGTAAATAGAAGGAAAGAAACAAAGTGCAGCAGGTGTGTGCTTGGTCTCAGTCTGCTCGCTGCTTTAATCTCATTCAGCTGCTTATTTTCATTTATTTTTCACATTCATCCACTTCCCTGACAGTTTTTCAGCTTGGAGAAATTCAATCATCCTCCTGTTCAGCTCTGGTTCTTTACCGGGGCCGGGGCCGGGGCCGGGGCCGGGACCAGGGGCCACTTTCACAAACATACAGAGTCCTGACTATCTTAAGCTGGACTGTGGTGCATTGAATTCTGGGTAAATAAAGACTTTTTTTCTAAATGAGGAAAATGGCTGGAACTGCGTCCACCTGCTGAGCTCTGTTTACCTCAGCAGAACATGTTTGTCTTTAGGAAGGATTCAACAGTTACAGGAAGTTTTACTTTGAAAATTTAGCAACAAGTGAAAGAATGAAAAGAAAAATCTGATTTGATTTTAGAAACTCTCGCTGTGATTATGAGCCGTGTTTTCCTGTTTCTTGTAATTGGGTGCTGCTGGTCAGCGCAGGTGTCA